TGTGGAACGAATTGTTCGATGATCTTCTCGGGCCTTGAGCTGGCAGAATGCTCAACAGCATTACTTTTTGTTACCCCTCGATGCGTTTATCGTAGCTTTATGCTAGATTACAAGAGACTATTAAAAGCGCTCCATTCCAGCTCATAATGGAAGCTCGTTCCTCATTAACTATTGTGGGGCATTCTCGTCCCTTACTCTCGTTCGTGTTTTGTGAGTTGAGATATCGCTGCATTTCCTCACACGCGAAAAATGGCAAGGTCCATCCAATCCGGAAGCCAGATCGTATCGAAGGAAGTACCTCGGCGTTCCAGTTGCCAATTCCATAATGAAATTTCAAGTTTTGTTATGGTGAACAATTTTTGCTCAGAAATTGTTTTCACGTCTAGGTAATATCCCTTTACTGCTCTTGATTTACACCATCGAGTTGTCCCAAATACTCAAAATACGCAGCGATGTTCACGTGCAAGTCTATGCTGATGACATTAAACAGTACACGAATGTTCGAATAGAGAAGTCATACAAAAGGCACTGGAGTTGCCAGTTGAGAAAATGAGCGTATGGGCATCTGAGATTCCCTTCGGGATATTCCCTTGAATCTGAGCAAATGCTTGGTGATGCATTTTGGGAACTCTGCTGCGACTGACTACATCGTAAATGGGATAAGACTCCCAATTTGTGACTCGACTAAGGACTTGGAATCATTTTTGGTACCACTCTCAAGTTTTCTGAGCAAATCGTTGAGACTGTAAAAAAAGCATTCGTCGCCATGTTCGCGATGATGAGGAACATCAGATGCTCTGACCCAACCATACTACTAGGTCTTTACAAAATTTATGTCTTACCCTATCTGGAGTATTGCTCGCAGGTTTGGAGCCCATCTCCCAAAAAGATATCCTCAGAAAAGAACGAGTTCAGCGCGTATTCACGCGTATTCTTTGAATTAGGTACACACCTTGTGTTCGCCAACCTCGTTCACCCTCGTACGGTGCGCACCTCAAACGCTTTGCCTCAAGTCCTTGCAATATAGACGCTCAGCGGCTGATCTAGTGCTATGTTTCAGATTACTTCAAAAAGAGGTAGAGCTCTGTGCTTGTAAGAACTGGTGCTTCAAACCCACAAGTGAAAGGTTGGGTGGCTTCAACCTTCACTACGCCAACATTCATCGTAGGCAGTACTCTTTGATGTTCAACAATTTTTTCTATCGTTGTGCTAGGTGGCCTGAACTACTTCTGTCTGAGGTACTTCAGGCACGCAACAGCAAAATATATCTGAAAAAGGCTAAGCAAGATCGATTTATTGCGAACATTGCATATTCCAGAGTATATCGACACACTTGCTTTGTATCTCAACGAACATTTCCTCAGTATCAACGACTTGATTGACTTTTCTTTGAGGTTTTCGAGAACCGCAACCAATTTCAAGAACTTGACGACTTTCTGTGTTCTATGCAGTGCGATGCAATGCAATGCATTCCTCTTTTCTATTTCGCAGGCAATCTACTGTAATTCCTTTTCTTCTGGCTCGAAATCCAACCACGATTCAGACCTCGTGTTGCTTACACTGTATATGTGAATTATGTCGTGCATGATACTTGTTCAAATGATCATGGGTGTGCTAGTTCTACCTCCCGACATCCTGTCTGCAATTCATTGCCTTCCTTTTTTCTGGAGGCAGGCAGGTAGCGATGCGAAGGGCAGATTCTGATTCGTCGTGCTGTAAGCTTTGGTTGTGGGTCCTAGTTGTATTAAGATCCTTCGTTTTGATGAACCCCCTCGTTTGAGGTCCCCCTTGGTCTGTTCGCCCGTGGTTCCGGACGAATTCGTCCGTAACGGACTACGTTGTCAGCAAGCCTCGGTTCTTCTGGCTCTTTGCGTTCTGGATCAAGGACCAGGATATTGCGAGGGGATCTCTCATCTGCTTGACAAGGGGAAACAACCTTATTGGCCTCACAATGTAATGCCCTAGCTCCTCTCTTTTTAATGACATCTCGACATGCTAACCTATCTGCTTTACTCATTGCTGCCTAATTCTGATGCCTTTATCTTGTTTTTGTTGTTATGCTTTTCTCTTTTTCTTTGTTTATAGGCCAAATGAGTCCACAGTTTCCAAATTCTTCTTTTTTGTGTTCCTAATGGGCACACCCTTGAGGTGTATTTGAAAAGATAAATAAATATCCCTCAGCCAAGTTCAGTTAGTTCATTCCGTTATGAGAATAATGAACAAATCTACTGCCCTTCAAAGCAAAATTACATAATCGGCTCGCATAAAGCACACATATACAATAATATAATATATGAGGACGAAAATGTATCTGGTTGTATAGCAATTTTCACAAACATCATTATTGCACTGCAGTGTAGTCGTTCAAAAACAGTAGAGCACGACTCAAGATTTACAGCAAAGTTCAGAAAGAAGCATAAGCCTTATTTCACCGGTTGCCCTACAGCTTGACTGATCCGTTTGAATGATGATGATTGAGCTGAAGGCGAAGCGACCCTGTGATCTCTTCCCTGCGCTTGTTCTTCGATCAACTGAAAAGTAGAGTGAATAACTCAAAGTACAGCACAATAAACCTTCAGGTATCAATTGTTTCGAAAATCTCTTATGAACTTTGAGGACATTGCTATGGGAATTACCCTCTTCGCTTCAGATGTCAAGTAAGCAGGTGAGTGAGAACGGAAAGTGGTCGACATTCTGAAACAATTCAGCTAATATTTCATTTGGACTAATGAACGAGCTAGATCATCCACATAGTTGTTGAACACCAATATAAGCGTTCTCGTACACATGTGATCCTTCGTCGCTTCAAGAAAACTTTTGAACATGATCAGTGGATGTTTCATGCTCATGCTATACTAAAAGAGCTGATCCAATTGAAACTGCTACCTCTTCGAAANAATGAACGAGCTAGATCATCCACATAGTTGTTGAACACCAATATAAGCAATCTCGTACACATGTGATCCTTCGCCGCTTCGAGAAAACTTTTGAACATGATCAGTGGATGTTTCATGCTCATGCTATACTAAAAGAGCTGATCCAATTGAAACTGCTACCTCTTCGAAAAATTTTCGTCATTTCTAATGAATCTCAAAGGCACAGTTCACGATAAAAATGGTTTCTGGGATTCCCCTATAGGATGAATTTGAGGCCGCCTCTTAACCATATCTATCATGTCGGAAAACGCCCTAGTTATGGTTTTATAAAGGCTCAAAGATTGGCTTGCATGTATACTCGTACGACTTTCACCGGCATTGCAGAGGCTGCACAGATCTCAAAGGAATCCGTATAAGAAGTTCAAACAACTTGCCATGACCCTTAGCGACAGTGAAAGAGAGTTTTGTACAGTTCCGGCTCGATGTAGTCAGCTCATTGCGCAGTTGCAATGACTGTAATCTCGTCCGAACCCTTTCACTGTTGTTTCCGTCATGGCAAACTCGTCCATTCTCTATTTTTCTACTTTTAAGGATCCTTGTTTTTCGCAAAATCGGCGGATTTTCTCGCTTCCTCCACCACCAATGAAATAAACACAACCTACCCCTCCGCTTTTCGACTAAAAAGGGTACCTCAAAATAATCGCGAACTGTGCCTCAAAGCGCTCCAGAAATATAAACTATCAGTCTGTATAACGTATGCAATGAAACCACCAAGAAGATTGCAAAAGAAGTTCGTATAATCGTACAAAGTGGGATACTCATTGAAAGGGAAGAAATTCTTATGAAACGTTCAAAAAATCACGATTTTTTCGAATGATACAATATTTCGAAGAAGAATTCAAGAAAAAAACTAGGAGTGCTCACTCCGTAGGACGCTCTGATTGGTGAATGTACTGCTCTGTCGCCGATGCCGATCTTACAGGTTGGACATTTTCCGGTGTTCTATGCTACAAGTAAAGAAGATAAGTGAAAAAACAAACACTCACATTTCTCATACTTCAGAAAGCCTCATACCCACCAGTAAGTGTTCAATAGAAGCGTTTGGAGCTAGTTCACGGCGTGTTCGAGGAGAAGGTGAATGGTAGTAGATGCGAGTTCCACCTCAAACAAAATCCTTGATAGTCTCACTCATTTGCTCACATCTCAAGCTCACAAAATTGTTGAAATGAAATCTACCTGGTGATAGGTAGCTGCTGTGAAGCGATGGGGAATGTGATGTTTGAATGAACGTTGCCTGATTCAATGGGGTACCACCGGAGCTCGCTTTATACGCGGTCGTTGTCATGCCGTTGTTGTAACTGAATCAAAAGGTTCCTGTTGTGGAGCTCTTTCATAAATGAGGAGTGGTGGAGACGGAATATTCAGTGTTATAAGGGCAGACTTTTCTCCCAGATTCATGGTCATCATGCAGCTTTAGGAAGTGGAGCCACAACTAGTTGCAGCAGGTGAACATTGTCGCCACCAATGTTGAAGGGACCCGGGCAGTTTACCGAAGGTCTTCTTGCATATCCATTCGGTGCGGCAGCCTGTATCCTAGACATGAAAACAACCTTGGGGAGCTAGTTGCAATTGAGTGATGATCACTTCCGGGCTACTGCTTTATGCTGCTTAATTTCAAGAGCCCAAAAACTAAGTTAAAGGAAGCGGCAGTCATTCGAGACGGCACGATCTATATGGACTAACTAGTAGCGATCGCAAACAACTTTTCATTTGGGAATACAATGTAAAGCATCGCATTTAGCTTAGTATTGGAAATCCCTTGCAAAGTGAAAGTTCTTGTGGGAAATGGGATAAATTCACGTCTCATGCACCTACGATCTAATCTTTCATTCAGTAGACTGTAAATTCTGAAACTATACCTGTAATTTTGAGCAGCAGGCGTTGTATGATTGAGTGTTGAATAGCGATCATTGCCGAATTTGGTAGTATAATTTTGATTAATATTTGAGGAGTAGCCACCACCAGCACCAACAGTTCCTTGGTGAGTTCGGCTGCTGTCTCGTGATCCGGATTCGTAGTTTGTTTTGCCTTGTGAGGAATAAGTAGGAATATAACCGTTCCCCTGAAAAATCAATTCGAGGATGAAAATGGTATGTTCAGGTGAGTCCGGCACGACCCGAAGGGAATGAAGGCTTGGTTAGGCTGGGGATGCCTCGATCTGGGTTTAGACCGCTATATGACGTCTACGAGGATACTACTTCACACCTGCGAGGAGAGTATGCCACTTGATACTTTAATTTAGAGGTACAGTCTCCAACAAATTTCGACCGATATATGAGTCACTAGAGTTCCATCATGTACCAGTTAGGAACCATAACAGCTTACTATTCCTCTGCTCCTCTGGTTCATGTAGACTGTTAAAGAACAAAGAATGGGGATATACCAGACCTCAAATAGTAAGGGGTTACTGTTTCATGGTATTCGGTAGATTTTCATATCATAGCTCCCTGAACGCATTATTTGATCAAGCTATCGAAGGATTTCAACTAAAGGATAACACCGAAGGCGAGGTTTTGGAAGAAGCGGGCAGGTGAGGCCTTGAAATGGGGTATGTCACTTGCCACTTTGATTTAGAGGTACGGTCTCCAACCAATTTCGACCGATATATGAGTTACTAGAGTTCCATCATGTGCCAGCTTACCATTCCTCTGGTTCATGTAGACTATTAAGGAAGAAAGGATGGGAATATACCAGACCCCAAATTGTAAGGGGTTACTATTTCATGGTAAACGGTAGATTTTCATATCATAGCTCCCTGAACGCATTATTTGACCAAGCTATTGAAGGAATTCAACTAAAGGATCACATCAAAGGCGAGGTTTTGGAAGAAGTGGACTTCTCGGAGAACTGGAGAAAGTCTCCTATTACTAAGAAACTACTACTGTAGCTTGACGTTCATAAGAATACCATTTCAGATACTGGTTGGA